CATTGAGTCATACTTAGCAAATAGATATCAGGTGTGCAGGGTTGAAGGCAGGGCGAGTCAGAGGATGGAGTTACGAGTTGGGGTTCCCCAGGGTTCTATTCTTGGCCCTATCCTGTTTTTAATTTTTATTAATGACTTGTGCTGCAATAATGGCGCGGTGGGTTTTACACTTTTTGCTGATGATACCACAATAATATTAAAACACTCAGATATTGAACTACTAAATGAAGAGAGCGAGCGTGCACTGTCAGAGGCTGAGCTATGGTTTACCAGTAACGGACTTGTTTTAAACAAAGAAAAAACACAAAATCTTATTTTTTCTTTAAGACCTATAAATGATGGATACCCACTAAAACCAGTTAAATTTCTAGGAATCTTATTAGACCACAAATTAAGATGGAATTGCCATGTTGATGCGTTATCCAAAAAATTGAGCACCAGTATATTTGTCATGCGTAACTTAGTTGGTAATGTCTCTAGTGATGTACTTTTAAGTGCATATTATTCGCTATTTGAGTCACATATATCTTACGGTCTAATTGTGTGGGGTCACTCTGCGGAATGTTATAAAATATTCGGTCTTCAACGCAAGGTAATACGGATCATCGCCTCTCTTGGTTACAGGGACGACTGTAGGGCTATGTTTAGTAATCTTGGAATTCTAACACTACCCTCCTTATATATTTTTCAAAATTTACTTTATGTTAAAAATAATTTGAATTTGTACCATAGCCACGATAGTTTTCATGACTACAATACAAGGAATAAAAATCAGCTTATGAGTAAATTTTCCAGGCTCAATAAATGCCAAAGTGGACCAGATTTTAACGGAATAAAATTTTACAACAAACTTCCAATCAACATAAAAAATATGGCTTTTAAGGAATTTAAGTTATATCTAAAATCTTTATTTGTAAAAAACGGGTTTTATTCTGTAAATGAGTATTTTGAGTATCAATTTTAATGTTTTAATTATATATTTACCTATATTATGTAAGTTTGTACTTTTTAATGTATTTGTGATTAGTCTTTTCTTTCTACTTTTTCTTTTTTTGACGTTGTAAACAATCTGTATTGTATTAGCACTAATAAAGATTATTATTATTATTATTATTATTATTATTAATTACACAGGTCAACATTTGATATAAGAAGTATCAATAGACCTCAGTAGAGCATCCTGGGGTTTTTGGGGTCGCTGATTTCGTATCCGAGGTCAATTGACCTCTATCACATCAGGTTCAAGGTCAAAGTAAGAAGAATTGCTTAGAAAAAAAATTAAAATATTAAACTTTTCGGATCGCAGAATCCAAAACTGTCGTTTGTTACCCGGCAAGGTCATCCAGAGGTTATTTCAAGGTAAAAGTGTGTAAAAGTGAAAGTATTTGAAAACCTGGCATTTAATTGACCTGGAAAGGTCGCCCAGAGGTTATTTCAAAGGCATTTCTGGGTTATTTCAAGGTCAAAGTGTGAAAAAGTAGTTTAAACTTTCATGAGAGCACAAATGCAGTGACCACCTGAAATGGAATGATCTTAAAAAAAAGGGTTTTAATCTTATTTAATTTCGGCGACCCTGAAAAACCAATAGGAACCTGATTTTTTTCCAATATTTGTATCCATTTCTTCGCACTTGGACCTTAAAATTACTTCTATAAAGGACCATTATAGAACCTTTACGGTTGTGTTTGCTGGGCTGTATAACTCGGAACCTGTCATTTTCGCACCGATCATTTTGACAGCTGTAATTTAAGCACCTGTCACTTTGACAGCTGTTATTTTGGCATCTGTCATTCGGGAATCAGACATTTTTACAGCCATTATATTGGCACCTGTAATTTTAACAGTTGTCATTTTAAGCTTCGTCATTTAGCACCTGTCATTTCGACAGCCGTTATTTTGGCACCTGTCATTTTGACAGCTGTCATATTGGAAACCTACACTATGGTAGACGGTTGCCTAAAATAAAGTGTCAGCAAATAGGGCTTGCCAACTGTTATAGATAAAAAACGGGAAAGTTTAAATATTCTTTTTTACAATTTTTTATTATATATCATATATATATATCATGATCTTTTGATTTCGCGGTATACTTGTATTTGGCGATAACGATAACACGTGTTGTACATACATACAGTATGTACATACTCTTCACTTTCACTGTAAAAAACTGCTTATACGTCGGATTTTATTGGTAGTTAGTCCATTTTAAGAGATAACTAACTGCCATTTTGAAAGCCGGAAAAACAGGTTTACAGCCCGGACAACAATCGGGATTTCCTGGTGAAGTCATGATGATATCACAACCTGATTTTTTTTATCACGCTGTGATATCCTGAGTGCATACACATGCTTCAGTGATATCATGTAGAACTCACGCTGTCATATTTGCAAAATTTGCGCATGCGTATGAGCCCTGCGAACTGCGAATTTAAAACCTACCCTAACAACATTCGTGATTTTCATACGAACATCACGTCATTATTTTCACAAATTTTATTTATACTGATATCATACGAAAGTCACCGCGTAATAAATGAAAATCATACGAACGTCACGGCGTGATTTTCACAAATTTTGTTCATACGGACATCATCCGGATGTCACTGCGTGAGAAATGAAAATCATGTCGTGATTTTTTATGCCATCGCTGTTTGCGATTGACCGATGGCCTAACAAATCATGTCGTGATTTTTTATGCCAACGGTGTTTGGGTAAACATTTTATACCTATATAGTTAATTTAAATCCAAGAAAATATTGAATGCAGCTTTAGTTTAGAACTATTTATAAAAATTTGACATTGGTAATATTGGTAGAACAATATTATTTTGTAAATAAAAACACGGCAACTGTCCTATCCGTTACGCGTGGAATGGCCCTTATTTAGTAAGAGGTTTTTATGTATGAAAGATGGTTAAAAATGTATACCATAAAATTAAAGATATATATATATACAGGGTGTTTCTTTTAACTTAAGTTGAGACAGCTCAATATCTCGAGAAATACGCATTTCACGGAAAAATGTCTTAAATAAAAGGTTAATGTGACTAAAGGGGACATTATTTGGTGCTACCGCTAGCCACCCCCTACCCCTCCTTAAGGGTGAAACGGGGGGTAACTTTGGAAAGTCAAATGGAATACCCGATTTTTTTCACAGAGTTTGGTAGTACATAAAAAAAATAAATAACTTTTATTTAAAACTTTTTTCAATTTATCAACAGATGGCGCTGTAATTCAAAATTTAAGAAAAATGAGTTTCCTTGTAAAATGTATTATTTGAAACGTTTGAAAAACAAAAATTAACATTAACAACAATAGTCGGCTATGAAAACAATTTATAACAATTGTTCGAAATGTCGTCATTCCATTTCAACACATTTTTGAATGCGGGTAATGAATTCTGGCACACAACGCGCCAACATGTCGGGCGGTATCGCCGCACAGGCGTTCCTGATCCGCTCCACCATGGTGACATGCATGTCCTCCCAAGTTGTAGGAATTGCAGCGTAAACTTTTTCTTTCAAGTAACCCCACTGGAAGAAGTCTGGTGGCGTAAGATCAGGTGATCGAGCAGGCCAAATTACTGGACCACGTCTACCGATCCACCGCGGTGCACCGGCCATTGAACTCCCGGTGGTTCCACATGTTTTGGAGCCGTGCTAGTGGTACATCCTCCAAAAGGTCCGTCAGATCGTTTTCTAGAAAATTCCGGTACTTTTCGCCATTTAATGCACCGACCAGGGACGCTGGTGCTCCACTTGGTGTCGAAATGGAAGGACGACATTTCGAACATTTGTTATAAATTGTTTTCAGAGCCGACTATTGTTGATTTAATGTTAATTTTTGTTTTTCAAACGTTTCAAATAATACATTTTAAAAGGAAACCCCTTTTTCTTAAATTTTGAATTACAGCGCCATCTGTTGATAAATTGAAAAAAACTTTCAAATAAAAGTTATTCATTTTTTTATGTACTATCAAAATCTGTGAAAAAAATCGGGTCATCCCTTTTGACTTTCCAAAGTTACCCCCCGTTTCACACTTAAGGAGGGGTAGGGGGTGGCTAGCGGTAGCACCAAATAATTTCCCCTTTGGTCACATTAACCTTTTATTTAAGACATTTTTCCGTGAAATGCATATTTCTCGAGGTATTGAGCTGTCTCAAGTTAAAAGAAACACCCTGTATATATATATAGCGAATTGCTGTGGTCATTTTCACTAGAACACATGTTAAGCTTATTGTTGCGCATTAATTTATAAAAAAAATACATCCAAGTGTATATCTCCACAACGGCTACATACGCGATTTTAATTTTTCTTACAAAGTAAAGCTAATATCACTATTTAAAAAAAAATGGAAGATTATATATTTTTTAAGTTGAAAACGCCAAATGTACCAACGTGTTCGTATAGTTCATCTTTTACGGGAGGAAGGAAGGAAAGCAATCTATAAACTGGACTTTAAAGTTAATAACGATTATATTTATAATTATTTCTTGAAATAATAATTATTATTAGTTGTTTTATTGGTTAAGCAATTATACAATTTGTGGAATTAAATAAAAACATTTAAGCCTGATTTATAGATTGCCTTCCTTCCTTCCTCCCACAAAAGATGAACAATACGAAAATTGTAGTGCCATTTATAGAAAATCTATAAACATCACGGGAGGCAGGAAGGAAGGCAATCTATAAATCAGGCTTTATATTTGTTGTAATTTATTATTATAATTATGAACTTTTTTATTATACACGCCACTGGCGAGCCAACTGGGGGCATGCGTCACGCATAATGCGTGTGCACTCTTGCCATGTGTTTTTTAAATAAAAATCTTCGGGGTTTTCTATGATAAAAATACAGCTCGATACGTTTTAACCGTTGAGCGACATATTAATCAATGTTTTATGTTTTTTATTTGATAATGTAATAATATTTTACATAAGATTTATTGATGCTTAGAAGAATAATTGGTTAAAAAAATATAAAATTTATGAAGACATCTCACAACATTGCTGAGAAAAGTCAATTTCTGTCAGAAATAGATGTCAAAAATGATTATTATGTTTTTTATGATTATTATCGAATGCTTATAAAGCAAGAACACTTCTTGTTCTAAAGTTTAGAAACTACAAAGTTTGCAATAAACTTAAATCCAGATATAGTTTTTTCTAAGGTAAGATAAATACTTACGCCAAACCATTCATCAGAAATGTCACCACTTAAATGATCTGCCTTTTCATCCATCATTTTTTAGGATTTCTGTGAGAATATTCTTGTAACAAAATGACTTCGGAAGAGAAAAAACCCGTTACCGATGAACCACAAAAGTCTTCTATGGAAATTTTATCAGAACTTTTTAGCACTTTTGATGCAGAACCACCTTTGATAATTAAAAAAGAAAAAGATGAGGAAACAACAAAGAAACACAAAAAAGGCAAAAAGAAACACAAACATAAGGAAAAAAAACATAAAAAGAAAGATAAAAAAAGGAAAAGGGATAATAGTTCCTCAAGTGATGACTCTGATTTAGATGTAAAAATAAAAAAAGAAATAAAGATTGACGTAAAAACTGAGAAAAATGGGGACAAATCTCCAAGGGAAAACGTGGAAAGTAAAGATAAAACAACATTGGGAAAACCAAAAAATAAAATAGTTATAAAAGATTTGTCCACCATTTTCCAGCCAACAATAAAGGAAATTCAAGAAAAAGTAAAGGAAAAAGGAGAAGATGGTGAAATTATTTCTGACCATTCTGAAGAAGAACCAAAAGAAAAACACAAAAAACATAAGCATAAAAGCAAGGAGTCTTCTAGAAAACGTAGGCACAGCAAAAGCAAAGAACGTAGTAAAAGTAGAGAAAAGAGAAATAAGTCTGACGACTTAAGACATAAATTAAATGATGATAAATATAAAGATAAGAATAAGCATAAAAACCATAATAGAGATAGGGATTTCTATAAAAGTAAAAGTTATAGTGAAAGGGAGAAAGATAGGTCAAGGGATAGACATAAAGAGCATACATCAAGGGAGTTTCATAGAAGATTGGAGGATTATAGGCATAAACGAGAGAGAGATGAAGATTTTTATAAGCCTAGGGATAGAGACAGGTATGTATATAAATATGTATACAGTCCCATGGTCATGGGTCCCATGGTCACTGGATACCCCTTAAACCACAAAGGTTTTGTTTTAAAAAAATTAAGCAGGATCTACCTAGGACTTTTTGTAAGGGAATTTGAGTTCATCAATTCAATTTAAAATATTAAGAAATGTGTTACAAATAATACATCAGCCATTTCATGATGACGGACGCTACCATTTGACCAAAATCTTGTCAAATATTTAAAAAAAAATGCAAACTGATTTTAAAGCTAATATTAAAAATTGAAAGTGGAGATGAGGTAAAAAAAAATAGCATATAAAATAATTATCTGACATTTAGGGATTCCAAGATTTTACTTTTTAAACTTAGATGACGGACGCTACAAAAAATGGAAGTGGAATAAATTTATTTTATGTTTCACCTGAATATTAGCAAATTGATAAGGGATTAAATTTAAACTTTATTATAATATATTAAGCATTGGACTAGATAAATATTTTTTATTTTTATTTTGTACTTCGTTTAATAGATAATATATAAGTACATGAAATATGTGATGATGGACGCTACATGACGGACGCTACAAAAGTTCCACCAAAATTCTAATCTTTTATTTTTTAATTCAAATAAACAACCAAAAACTTCACTAAACAAATAAACTCTACATTTAACAGTAAAATATGCCACTACTTAAATACAACACACGATTCGTAACTGGAATTTCTTGTTTGAGCGGTTTGCAACTAATTGGAGCTTAATTTCATAAAAAAGTGTTTTAATTGGATAAAAGGAATCTTCTTAACATTAGCCCACCTTTTATCCAGCATCTCTTTTATATTTTCAATATCCTCAGCACAAACATATATTAAGTTGATAGTAGATAATTGCCCTTTGGCACATTCAAAGAAGTCATGGGCATTTGACAGCTCAATATTTTTACATCTTACCTCTCGCCAAACCGTCCTTTTTACCTCGCCTCCCAGTGCATCTACAGAACTACTGGCAAAAAAGTTCCATTCAACACTAGGCAGGTTGAACTATAAGTACATCATAGTAACACAAATTTGAAAGAGTAAATTTATTTTTAAATTGGGCAGCGCAGCCGTCTGAAAAGATCACTGTTTTGCATAAATGTTGTAATAGATGGGGATAGTTCAAATGAATTTACTTAAAAATTTCTTGAAGAAATACATGTCCCATGTAGTCGCTTGTAATGGCAATAGAAAAGGTCTGCTGTGGTGTCCAGACAACACAAGTAAATATTGTTACTTGTTTGTGAGACCAGTGTGCCGATTGAATTTCATTTTGAGACACTATCGAGTAGTTCTCAGCAAAGTCAATTTGCACTACAAGAACTTTATCTTCGGCAAGATGAACCTTTTGTTCATCAAAATACCGTTCTTGCACCCTTTTAACAAAACAGTGTGTTTTTAACACTTTAAATTGATCACTGAAAAAGCGTAGCTTCTGTAACTTGGACCTCATTATCTTTCCACTGCTTGTACTTAACAAGTATGTCGTCCAAATCAAACATATATTTAACTGGAATCAAAGCATGTAAAATGTCATAATCGCAGTTTTTGTCATACACTGTTCTTCATCTATATTGCAACACATTTGTTTCAGGAAATCAGTACTGCTTTAATATTATTTTGTATTGCCTCAATTAAAAAATTAAAATTTGCCTGATAGCGACATACACACACGTTATGCGGCATTTGTGATGATAACAGAACGTGCTTGGGGCGCAACTGGTAAAATTTAGTAATCTGGGAATTCTTGCTTAAATAGTGTAAATGCCTCCTTAATCGTCATTATAAGATGTCTTTTTTGTAACGATTCTCTCTTACCAGTAATTGGATATTTGATACTTTTTGGGTCTCTCTTTCCTGGGGCCTGTCTGCTAACATCATCACGTAGGAAAAAAATATTGACAAGTCTAACATCTTCAGTAGATGTAGTAAGTCCATGAATTATTGTGGGCTTCTCGTCACGCAACTTTTCGGGGATAGTTTGTAAAACTAACTTCTGCACTACAATTTTTCTTTTACGAGAACTTCCTGGTACGTATTTTTAACTTTTTTTAAAGCTTTACCCAATGTTTGAGGACATCTGTAAGGACTATAAGACTGCTCAATATTTTGTCTCATTTGTTAAATCTTTGATCTGTAACGCCTCATTCTTTCAGTAACTTTTAATTTCTCAATTTTTCGTATATGACTATCAAACTGCAACTTTTCTTTTTTCTTTACTCTTTCAACTTTTTTTCTTTCGGCATCTTTTTTTAAAAGTGCAATTCTTGTAATTTCGTCACTTTTAATTTTTTCTCGATAACGTTGCGCGGCAATTCTGTTTTGTTTAATGCGCTTCTCCTTTTTGATCTTTAAAAAATATTCCACCGGTATAAAAATCTCTCGAAAAATCTTTAAACAAGGTTAGAATGAGCATTTGTGTGTTTTTAATTTAGTCCAATTTAACCGTAAAACAAGATAAATGAAAAATCTAAAAAAATATTACTTAACCCGTAACCGGTACTGTACGACTTTCAGGACATAAACGGTACTAAGGGGTCTGAGAGACACCTGCCTTTTAAAATTATAATTTATATATTTTTTTTTATCTGAGGCTTTGGGGATACTAGGAAATATATATAAAGTTAGAATATTACCAAAAATAATACCTGAATAAAAGAAAAATTTAAACAAATAGGTTTTAATCAAAAAATGTACAAAAAGTTGAGTAGTGCAAACTTTGTGATTAAACTATAAAAAATATTAAACCAAACAAAATAAATCGATCTTTATTTCGAAGAATATACCTTAAAAAATAACATAAACAAAAAAAATTTTAATATATCTTTTTTTAACAGCAAAAATAACTGCTTCAAACTATAGCTAATTTTTAGAATTATTTTTTCCATAGTAACTTTTTTGTTTTTTTTTCAAATTCTCAAAAAATTTCAAATTTTTCACTATCTGACCCTATAGGGTATATATAAAATTATTTTCTATAGACTCTTCACAGACAAGTCCTGAATCGCTGCTGTGATTATCTTCAACGACATAATCACTATAATGGTTATGTAGTATACTACAGTCATCTATATCACTTTTATCGCTGTAGATTTCATAAAACCACTACATTACAGTTTCCTTAAAGCCTTTCTTATCACTTTGGACACTTTTAGAAGGCCCTTGTTGCGAATCCATAACGAGTTAATTGTTTTATAAAAATTACGTAAACGGTACGCAGTGGTCTACTAGACACCTCAACACTTTGACTTGTAATAATTTGTCCGTTTGACAATCCAACTTGTTCAAAGTCTGAGAGCATATTGATAACTGCTCAACTTAAAAGTATTGGAAGCGACAGATTTTTAAAACAAAAGGTGAGGGTGGGACAGGGCTTTGTTCGTTGATGAGTGTCTCCCAGACACCACAGTACCGGTTACGGGTTAAACATTTTTTGCTTACGGACACTACATAAAAGTTTAATTTAAAAAAAAATAGATTCTTGACATATCTAAAAAAGCTTAGTATACTGACAAGAGGCAAAATGTGTGTTTTTAAAAATAAATAATTTAGTCAAAAATTATTTATCTTCATTAAGAAATATTAAGTATTACATCTTTTTGATGACGGACGCTACACTAACAAACAAAATCGTCACCAAACACTCTGATAATTAATATTTTAATGAAATAAAATAATAACAGTTGTATAATAAATGACATAATCACTGAACAATAGCCTGCTAAATAACTTATGTTTTGATTCATTTTTTTAGGATGCGTTCGCATTAAGTAAAATATTGTTTTAAGGGCCTAATAATGGAAAATATATTATTTTTATATTAGATATGTAAAATTTAGACTACGTGCACAATATTTCATATTAAAGGTATTGCATATAAACAATTTTAAATTGTGCTCCTTAGTTTTAAATTCTCTGGAATGGCTGACATGTAAAAAATAAAGAAAACTGTGATTGTCACCAATAAATATTAAGAGCGCTACAAAACCTTTTCAGCAGTGTGACTTGTTGATGGAGTTAGCACACTCTGGCTCCCTCGAAAGGAAAAACCATGTTTTTCTTAAGAAAGGAACTTTTGGTTAAAAGATTATCCAATGACTTTGGGCCACCATGTATAATAGTATTTTTATTTTTACTTGAATTCACACAATAAAACAAGGAAAAGTTTTTTAAAAACTCACACTAAATCCCCCAAAAAAATGACTCAGTAGGTTGCTTTCTTAAATTTATTTTTATAGAAAATTTATACCTACCCGGACAACATTCGGGATATTCATACGAACATCATGTCATGATTTTCACAAATTTTATTCATACTGATATCATACGGAAGTCACCGCGTGATAAATGAAAATCATACGAACGTCATGTCGTGATTTTCACAAATTTTATTCATACGGACATCATCCGGATGTCACTGCGTGAGAAATGAAAATCATGTCGTGATTTTTTATGCCATCGCTGTTTGCGATTGACCGATGGCACAAAAAATCATGCCGTGATTTTTTATGCCAACGGTGTTTGGATAATCATTTTTGCGCCACGTTCGTACACTAAGAGAAAAATTATGTTGAAAGCTGTTGATTCAATTGTTAACATAATTTTTCTTTCAATGTACGAATGCGTCGCAAAAATGAATATCCAAACACCGATGGCATAAAAAATCATGTCGTGATGTCGTGATTTTTTATGCCATCGGTGTTTGGATATTTATTTTTGCGCAAAATTTGTACATTGAGAAAAAAAGTATACCTACATATATATTGAATCAACAATTTTTGTGGTTAAATACATTCAATATTTTTTTGGATTTAAATTAATAGTTAACTTACATACAAGAAAGTATTAAATGTATTTAAACGCAAAAACTGTTAATCCAATTGTAAACATACTTTTCCTTTCAATGTACGAATGTGGCGCAAAAATAAATATCCAAACATGTCGGTGCACCGATGGCATAAAAAATCATGTCGTGATTTTTTATGCCCAAACACCGATAGCATAAAAAAGTTCTACTTTACTGCCGATTGTTGACTACTTTACTGCCGATTTCGGATAAAAAAAATGTTTGTTCCATTGTAGCTATATACTATAGTAGTATTATGTAAGGGATATTTAATAAAGCACTTTTCTACAGAGAAGTGCTTTATTAAATACCAAAACTAAAATTATAATGTTTTTTTGGTAAAAAGTATTATTTTTTGAAATTTTTGTGTCGTTTTTTTAATTACTAATTAAATTCAAAAGGCAACAAAGTAAATGGGTTTCGGTATAAACATTTCTCTTCGACTATTATTTGATATTTTTTTATTCACATCATGCAATTCAATCTCCAATCTTATTTATTAAGTCTTAAAAATTTAATATCGAATTGAAGTATAAAGGCACCTTTACCTACTTTATCGTTCAAGCACATTAAAGTGCATCTATTAATTTTTGACATGTAAAATTTAAACTTTAAATTGTATTTTTACTTGAAAGTGATTTTAAGAACCAAAAATGAAAAAAGAGCAGGAAATGGAATATGGCAGTGTTAAAGCTGTTATTGAAAATGTTCTTGGTTCATATCGGGCCTAAAATTGGCGCCAATTCATTGAAAAAATACTCTCCGTTTGTTAAGAATTAGATATTTGATACGATTTAATAAATTTAAGGTAGAAAAAAATCAAAATTATGCAATGCATTAAATTTTGTGGGCTTAATTTGGATAAAAAATACCGAAACTTGTTTACTTTGTTGCCCCTTCAATACAATAATTAAAATAAACGACATAAAATGTAAAATAATGGTTGTTTTTTTACATAAAATACATTAAAATTTTAGTTTTAATATTTAAAATGTCATATTGTTAACTTAAACATAGGGGTGTGCGAATAATTCGAACTAACGAATTATTCGTTCAGTATCGAATATTAATATTCGATTAATATTAATATTCGATTCGGAACTCGAATCGAATAATTCGGAAAATTCGAATTATTCAAAAGTTTCCTAATAATTCGAATTTTTTTCGAATTCAAAATTTTTTCGAATAATTCGTAAACTATTATATTATTAGCGAGTTTTCGAGTATTTTGAATTCAGGGTTTCTTATGTTCAATATATTCAAATATGAATTTAACAGTCAATATACATTTTATTCAAATCATGAAACATTATTTGAGTAACCTTTTTCTTATAGATTTTTTTTCTCTGGGTAATTGATTTTTTAACGAAAAGTATATTATTCGTAAGTAGAATATTTCGATACACGATTTAAAGGAATTTAAATGGAAGCAATTAAAGATCCAGAGATATTTCATTAATTCGCGAATTATTTGAAAATTTTCGAGTTATTCGAAATATTTTGAATTCGAAATTTTACAAATTATTCGAAATTTTTCGAATTATTCGTAGAATTTCGAATAATTCGAAAATTTAAATTATTCGATTCAAATTTCGAATCGAATATCAATATTCGATTCGATTCGAACGATATTCGCACACCCGTAGTTAACCCTCAACTGGTATCGTGTTTTCACGGAGCGTAACTGGTATCGTGGGGTATTTCGACACCCCAAAATATATAGATCACTAAAAAAATAACGAACATTTTTTTTTATACTCTACATTTATTTTTAAGTACAGTACTAAATAATATAATAAGTTAATGTGAATAACTTACAAATTTTCATAAAAGAACTAAAAATATATAAAAATTCTGGGAAACTGAACAATAATATACTAAAACACACAGAGTTCGTTGGTTAACAAGAAAATCAAAAATAGGCAAGATAATGAAAAAAAAATTTGTGAGGCCAAAATTCAGGATCCCTGTTTACTCCCTGCAAAAGAAAAAAGTAATTATCATCCAGCAGAAAAAAACTGAGGGGGTGTTTTTTTACAATTTTTTTTTTCAAAAAAAAATTTTTTGGTGTTAATCTACTCATAGTAATAGCTGAATTTAATCAACTCATTCGTAATTTTAGTGGTAACATATACATAATAAATAATCCTTACCTGTTTATAGAGTTCAATCATTTTAGCGCTGTAAATGTTCACTATGTTCACTAATGCCGTCACTGAGGTTATTATCCTCTTCTCGGAAAAGATCATTTTCAGGGTTTTCGTCACAATCACTTTCGTAAAAATTTTCAGCAAGTTTCTCGAGTTCTTTTTGTGTTAACGGTCGCCCTGACATGTTGACTTGAAGCAAGAAATGAGTTTATGAGAAATTAAAGTTACGACGTAACTGGTATGGTGGGGTGTTGACACACCCCAGACTCTGTTTTTTTTGCAAACTGCTGGTTTTAAATAGTAACCAATTTTACTGTTTTTACAAGTAACTAGGTCTAAGAGAATACCTGGAACAACAAAGCTAAATTTTAGTTTAAACTATAGGTTTTTTATAAAAATGTAGTTGCTGGGGTGTCGGATCACCCCACGATACCAGTTGAGGGTTAAATATGATCTATTTGCTGTATACCAATTACTTTAGTACATTCAAGATAAATTTAAGCCAAAATAATTTAATAAATAATTAAAATACTAACCAAAAAACTTCATTTTGGGGTGATTAAGCAGAGCATTTTATCACGAAGTTATTTTAAATTCTAGACGTGTAATTATTACATTTTTGAAATTAGCGGCCCAAAATTAGTTAAACAAAGCTGGTGTACTCAATGTTAGACAAAAAAAGTTTCTAAAACTATCATAAAACTTAAATACGAATAACTGATATAATATTGTGTATATTATACATATTATGTATGTCATATACGAGTATAAGGAACACACAAACAAAAACATTAACATAATTGTTTAGACATAGGGGTCATGATGATAGAGACAGAGAAAGAAGACACAAAGAAAGGGACAAATCCAGTTTCAAAGAAGACAGCTCTTACATTGACAAAAAGAAACTGTTGGAAATAGCCAGAAGAAATGCTGTAGCAATGATGAAGTCTGGAAGTTTACCGGGAGCTCTTACTTTGGGACCGCAGGCTCAAGAAAAAGTGATTGCCGCCATCAAATCCGGCGGAAAAACCATTGAAGAGTTGACTGATTTCTGTAAGACTTTGTCGAAAAAAGAGGAGATGGGAGATTTGTCCAGTTTATCTGAGAAAGAGAGTGGCAGTGACAGTGAAATTGATAAGGCTTTTCATCATCCATTCCAACTTAAAGATAGACCTACTTCTATTACCATGAATATAAAGGTGAGTTACACAAGTTTTCCTGACATTATTTTAAATTATTAAGAAATATTGGAGACAGATTTATGTATTCATATTATGCATTTGCGTATGTTGGCTATTTTAACATATTTAAGCATATTTTACTGATCTCCGCTAATGCAGAAAAAAATTTGGTATGCAAAAAAGTCAAGCAAAATTATTACCCTTTAAAAACTCTAAGGAACTTTTATTTTGAATCTATAGTTTTTTTTATTATGCATACATTAATATAAGCGACTATTTCCCTCGTCTTAATTTCCACCAATCACAAACGCGCAATTTTGAATTACAAATGGTTTCTAGGTGAAAAAAACTGTGTGACAGCACCTGTCAGCAGTTTATTCGAGTTTACCCGCGGCAAAACTTGACAGCTGTTGTCACCAAAAATTGCAATTTAATATTTTAATTGTTAACTGTTACTCATGATATAGTCTTGTCAAATACCATTCGGGCATCTAATTTTTCCTGTGAAAAAAATCGAAAAAACACAATGCTAAGTAATATTTTTTAACAAAATGCATTCGTGCAGGTGCAAAAATCCTCCTCTTCGACTCGGATTTTTGTTGCCACCAGCACTCATGCTTTTTGTTAAAATATTACTTAGCAACGTGTTTTTTCGATTCTTTTCGGAAAAATTAAATGCCCTTATGATCCCGGACAACAATCGGGATTTCCTGGTGAAGTCATGATGATATCACAACGTGATTTTTTTATCACGCTGTGATATCCTGAGTGCATACACATGCTTCATCACAGTGATATCATGTAGAACTCACGGTGTGATATTTGCAAAATTTGCGCATGCGTATGAGCCCTGCGAACTGCGAATTTAAAACCTAGTTTGTTATTCACATTACACCGTTATAATTTATAAAACGTTGTTTGAATATCACAAATGTTGTCCGGGTTCAATTAAAAAAGATATTCCATTCCACGCGTAACGGATGGGACAGTTGCAAATTTTTATTTACAAAATAATATTGTTCATTATATTACTAATGTCAAATTTTTATATATAGTTCTAAACAAAAGTTGTTTAACAAGGTTTTTAATTGGCAAAATTAGGTATCGTGGTTGTCTACTTCCTTAAAAAAATATTTTTTTTATTCAAAAAACAGTACTAGTGGTCTTTTTGAATAAAAAAATTAATTTTTAAGGAATTAAACAGTCAACCACGATACCTAATTTTGCCAAATAAGAACCTTGTTAAACAGCTTTTGTTTAGAACTATTTATAAAAATTTGACATTAGTAATATAATAGAGCAATGTTATTTTGTAAATAAAAACTTGCAACTATCCCATCCGTTACGCGTGGAATGGCCGTATACTTTTTCTCTCAATGTACGAATGTGGCGCAAAATAAATATCCAAACACGGATGGCATGAAAAATCACGACATGATTTTTTATGCTATCGGTGTTTGGGCATAAAAAATCACGACATGATTTTTTATGCCATCGGTGCACCGACATGTTTGGATATTTATTTTTGCGCCACATTCGTACATTGAAAGAAAAAGTATGTTAACAATTGAATTAATACTTTTTGCGGTTATATACTTACATTTAATATTTTCTTGGATGTAAATTAACTATTAATTTAAATCCAAAAAAATATTGAATGTATTTAACCACAAAAACTGTTGATTCAATATATACAGGGTGTTTCATAATATATGCGCAGGACTTCAGGATGTGATAACTTATCAGAAAAGATGAAAAAAGTCGCTATTAACTTACGCTCTAAAATGCACAATTTTCGAGATACAGGGTGTTGAAATTTTTGAAAAAAATTGTTTTTTTCGAATATCTCCGGAACCGTTTATCGTACAAAAAACAGCTTTTGTAAGCATTTTCTACCCAAAATAAGCTATGTTTTGTGTCAGAAAAAAAAATGTATTCCTCATAATTGGTGGAGATTTTGAAGGGGTAGCGGGTGTTTTTCTCCTCAACTTCTACGCCCCTGAAAAATGTACGGTTTTAAGAGGTCATAAGCTCTAAAGTTGACCGTTTTCGAGAAAAATCAACTTTTATGTTTAAAAACATGGTCAATTTAAAAAAAAAAAGAAATGATTCAAAAGTTGTCTTTGCTAAATTCTCCAAACCATAAAGGTAACGCATTTCGAACATTTCAGCATTTGTGTAAAAAATCATTTTTTATTTTTTTTTTAATTTTGCAATTATCGTTTGGTTTAGTTACTTTTTCTAACGTTAAAATAAATTTTGTTTAATTAGTAATAACAATTTTTTTTTCAAAAAATTGACCATGTTTTTAAACATAAAAGTTGATTTTTCTCGAAAACGGTCAACTTTAGAACTTATGACCAAGAGTACCTTTTTTGTGTAGAAAACATTGGCGGTTCGAATGGGCCTCTCAAAACCGTACTTTTTTCAGGGGCGTTGAAGTTAAGGAGAAAAACACCCGCTACCCCTTCAAAATCTCCACCAATTATGAGTAAAAAAAATTTTTTTCTGGCTCAAAACATAGCTTATTATGAGTAGAAAATGCAAACGGTTCCAGAGATAATCGAAAAAACTGATTTTTTTTCTAAAATTTCAACACCCTGTATCTCGAAAATTGTGCATTTTAGAGGGTAAGTTAATAGCGACTTTTTTCATCTTTTTGGATGAGCTATCACATCCTGAAGTCCTGCGCATATATTATGAAACACCCTGTATATATGTAGGTATACTTTTTCTCTCAATGTACGAATGTGGCGCAAACATAAATATCCAAACACCGATGGCATAAAAAATCACGACATGATTTTTTATGCCATCGGTGTTTGGTCATAAAAAATCACGACATGATTTTTTATGCCATCGGTGTTTGGATATTCATTTTTGCGACACATTCGTACATTGAAAGAAAAAGTATGTTAACAATTGAATCAACAGTCTAAAATTCAATATTTTCTTGGATTTAAATTAACTATATAAAGTTAATTATAAATCCAAGAAAATATTAAATGTATTTAACCGCAAAAACTGTTGATTCAACATAATTTTTCTCTTAGTGTACGAACGTGGCGCAAAAATGATTATCCAGACCCCGTTGGCATAAAAAATCACGACATGATTTTTTGTGCCATCGGTCAATCGCAAACAGCGATGGCCTAAAAAATCACGACATGATTTTCATTTCTCACGCAGTGACATCCGGATGATGTCCGTATGAATAAAATTTGTGAAAATCACGAATGTTGTCCGGGATATTACTTACAAAAATAGCACCTAATTTAAAGTAACCTCGGTAGACGTAGAACGTTTATTTACAATTTATAAAAACGTTTTACACAACCTTACAAAAGGATTTCCTTTTTATTGTAAATATTTACAAAAACAAACATTAAAATAAATTTAATAGCTATTTGTGTATTAAGAGCGCAAAGTGATACATTGCCGCTCTGAGCGAGAAGTTTGACGCGCAACGCGTAGCGGAGCGCGGCTATCTCTCTAGAGCGGCAATCTCACTTTGCGCTCGATTTGCACACAGGATTTTTTCTGCAACCGTAGTTTCTATAAGAATGTTTAGTAAAAACTAATAATTGTTGATAACCTCAAATTTGATGTTTGTGTCAAAAGTCGCAAATACACTAAAAGTTTCTTTATTATGGTTTCCATGGTAACTAAGCGAGCGACAAAGTAACTTTGTCACTCGGCGAGCGTTTTTCATATGGCATATTTTAGGCTTTTTAAGTTTTATATTATTCGGCCTCTAGTAATAATAATAAAAGTATGCAATATTATAGAAAATAACATATAAAGGGTATCCTTTCAAGTATGGGTATCTTTTTTATTTGAAAAGCTACAATTGTAGCATAAGGTGCAAATTAACTTTCAATTGAAATTAAAAGTTATTATTATTATACAGGGTATCTTTCTATGAAATATAATACTTCTATGAGATTTTTTTTATTTAAAAAGCTGCAAGGTTAAATTAGAAAAAAATTGTTTAAAGAGGTTGGGACATGATGTCGAAAATCAGTGTAAGACCACTTTTATTATAGAAATTAGTCACTAAAAATATCCATACCGTTGGAAAAACCATTTTTGCTATCAATTTTTCATTAAAAAGCACTATGAAAATTAAAAATTTATCTCGGTAGCGATATTATTATTTAAATGGTATATTGGTATATCGGTATTTCGCTATGTTAAATTAAGTATACATTATTAAAATTATTTTTGCAAACCTCAAATCTGTCAAAATCAAATTTTTTGTAATGTTATATTTTATATGATGTAAGCGTTGACTCAGCGATATAAGGTTATTTAAAAGAATAAAAATATTTAGAGTAATTACTATAAATATTTTTATTGCTTTAAATAACTTTAAATCATATAAAATATAACATTATGGAAAATTTGATTTTGACAGATTTGACGTTTGCAAAAATAATTGTATTTCTTGAGATACCGATATACCATTCAAGGTGACGGAAGCGTTTTAAATTTTTCGCTCTCAAAAATTCTTTATAAAACAGAAAAAAATATATAATGACTCGTATGAGTAGATTCTAAATATGCATTAAAAAAAATTGCGTGTCCCAACCCAATTACAAGTCTATTAAAATAAAACTTATAAATTGGAAGAAAGCCAGCGGTCAGTTTCAAATCAGACGGGGAAGATAGTAGATGTGTGAGTTCGAACGCTCTTAGTAGTAGTCGCTGTAGTCGAGTAAAGTGCGGTGCGAAACAGTGCTACTAGTTTGGTTTACTACATACCTGTACAGGTGAAATTAGGGTACCTGTTCTCCAAAGGGTCAATAGAAAAATTAAATAAGTCTAACCAAGAGTGGAAGGGGCTGAACCTGATAAGTATCAATGTATGACGTATGACCTAATACGCAAATCTGTAATAAAGAATTAATCATTATCGATAACAGCGTATAAGTGTAAAAAAACAAATCAAGTAAGAACGTCACAATATTATATTATTGTATTATATACAGGGTGTCCCAGAACTCGCGCCACAGAGA